TCATCTTTTCTCTCATCTCACACAAAAAGTTGTCCCACAAATTTGTTCTCAGCACAGACCAAGCTGCCAGGGCCATATACCAGTCACTGGTTCTCTCCCTGGGACAGACCCAGACACAAACTCTATAGAATTGGTGGGGTGGATAATGCATTCCCCAAGCAAATAGCTCTGTGGGGAGGGTAAAGGCTATAAAGAAAAGGAAAAAAGAAAAGAAAAAGGACGGAGGGATGGGAGACAGGTCTGGGAATGAAAAGAAGGGCATCTATTATGAAGGGAGAGGAGCTCCACTGGGTCCCAGCCAGAGAGTATTAAAATAATGTATAAGGGAGCAGGAAGGCACAGGCAAGAGCAAAGTTTATCAAAAGCGAGCACAGAGCTGGAGTAATAGTACAATGTGGAGGGCACTTGCCTTGCCCACAACTGACCCAGGTTTGATCCCCAGGGCCTTAGGATAGTCCCCTGAGCCTATCAAGAGTGATTCCTGAGCACAGATCCAGGAATAAGCCCTGAGCAACGTCAGGTGTGGCCCCCCCAAAACAGAAAATAAATAGACAAAAGTGAGCACATGGAACCAGAGAGATGGTCCAGTGGGTAAGGTGCTTGCCTTTCATATGACCAAATCCAGTTCGCTCCTCAGCATCACGCTGAGCTCTGGCAGGATTAAGCCTTGAGCACATCTGTGCGAGAGAGAGACAGAGACAGAGAGAGACAGAGACAGAGAGATAGAGAGCTCCTTAGTACAAGAGTCCTTAGGGACTCTTATCATTTGACTCTGGGAAATTTCTGCTTTCCATAAATTAGCCAATTTCAGGGAGCGGGTGAGCCTTCCTGGGCGGGAGTGAGTTACTTATAAAATGTTCTGAGCCAATCATGGGAAGGAAGTGAGATGAATATAAATTTTTTTTTTGTTTTGGGGCCACACCGGACAGTGCTCAAGGATCACTCCTGTTGGTGCTCAAGGGACCAAATGGGGTGCTGGGCATTGAACACAGGTTGGCTGCTTGCAAGGCAAACACCCTGCCCACCGCATTATCTCTCTAGCCCCAGATATAAATACTGGGGAAGGAAAGTTTGGGACAGTTGAGTGACAATAAATGGACAGAATTCCTTGCTGAACTAACTCAGTTCTAGGAACAGAGAGACAGAATGGAGTGACAGTGGGGCATGAGTCCTGGGCACAGCCGATGCTGTTAGCAGGGACTCAGCAGGTAAAGCGTCTGGCCATCTCACCATGGAGCTCATTTTCTTTGTTGTTTGTTTTGGAGGGCAACGCCCAGCAGTGCTCAGGGCTTACTCCTGACTCTGCACTCAAGGGTCACTTGTGGCAGTATTAGGGGGATCATATGCGTGTCAGGGATTAGAACAGAGGCCAATTGTGTGCAAAGGAAGCACCTTACCCACTGTACCATCTCTCTGACTAGACCACTTAATTTTACTATTTTTAGTTTGGTTTTGGGAGACACCTGGCTACAGTCAGTGCTGACTCCTGGCTCTGTGCTCAGAGGTCACTTCTGGCAGTGTTCAAGGGACCCCTATGTGGTGTCAGGGAATGATCTTGATCATTGCCAAGGTGACAAGAGGGGGTAGTGGGAAGGAATCGAAAGAGATGGGCAGAAGAGCTCCAGAACAGCAGCTACAAAGTCCCCCAGGTAGGAATGTACTTGGCAGGATCTGCGCACTCCACGTGGGCCAACCTGTCTGGGCAGTTTGAACAAGGGGTGAGAGGTGAGGGCAGAAAGGGAGCAGAAAACAGATTCTAGCCTAGAAGTAAAGTGATGCAAATGGCAGGATGGACAGGGAAACTGTGCTGTATTCACACAAGGGAACACTTTGCCATCGTTTAAGACATAAGGTCCCGCTCTTGCACTGATATGCAGAGACCCTTTTCGGAGTTAACTGGTTAACACAGCAGCATTACCAAGGTGCATCCATCAGTAAACAGACCATACCAAACAGCTGACAATGGTCCCCACTCCAGTGAATGCATCTGGAAGACGGGAGTTTCTCTTTCTTTTTTTCTCTTTTCGCAGAAGTCAAGGTTAAAAGCCCAGGGTCTCACACGTGAGAGGCTTGAACCCCATCCCAGACCCGTTTTTTATTTTCCAGTACTCCCAGACCCGTTTTGTTGTTGTTACTGTTGTTGTTGTTTCCCCAGGCCGGTGGCGACAGATTAGCCGTCGGGCGCGCACATGCCTAGCTAGGGCCGGACAGAATTCGAATCCCGGCGTCACATGCTCCAATGGCACCGCCAGCCCCAAGTAGCACCACGCCACCGGGCACCACCGCGAGTGAACCCCTGCCCCTATGCCAATGTCTGTTTTGCAAATCTCCAAACCTCCAGATCTCAGGTCATGTAAAACCCGGGACCAACGCCAAATCTAGTCCTTCTAACCCAAGAGACGGGTTTTTATCCCTCCTCTCAGCCCCAGGAGCCCAAGCCCTGCAATTCCGTTAGCCCGAAACGTGAGGAGCTGGACGCTGCCACGCGCCCTTGCTTGACCGGAAGTCACAGCGCCGGCCCTGCTCTGCTTCCCGGACCCAGCAGTTCCGCCTGCGTCCGGGCACCAGGTGTCGCCTCGCACCGCGCAGACTCAGCCTCCGGTTCAGTTCCACGTGGCCGGGAACTGAACCGAGCAGTTCCCTGTCGATCTTGGCCCTGGCCCCGCCTCCCGCGCCGCGGTTCCATCCTGGCCCCGCCCACTTCGGGGTCCTTCCTCTCACGGCCCGCGGCAGGGAGTGCTATCCACATCATTGCCTGATGACTGTGACAGAAAAGCTGCCCCTAAAACTTTCCCTTCATCTCTTTCTCTGTCTACAGGGACATAGTTTGTTCGATAATTTTATAATATCCTATAGGAAATGAGATCGTTTCCGTAAACACCGGGGCGGGAGAGATTTTGATACAGGCGAATACGCTGGATGCCATGGGCAGAGCCCGGCAGGGAGCCGGAAGTCCGGTGGGCGCGCGAGGGCTAGACTGCTGGCGCACGCGGCCGCGTGAGGACGCGTTCGGGCTGTGCTTCTCGGTCAGTGTGTCTGCTTTGGGCCGGGGCCGCGTTGGCACGGCTTCAGGGTCGCGTGGACGGCGCCTAGGCCTGAGGTACATGTGGTGCCGTTTTACTGGGGCTCGAGCAATAGCTCCATGTCCCCGGCGTGCATCCCGCGCGGCGGGCGGAGGGGGGCTTCACCGCTTGGGGGTTTGGGAGCAAGGTATCGTTTTCATTGCTCAGGTTTTCACCGGCCCCACTGCCGGGATTTTCTTCTCTTTCTTCAAACGCCAAGTGGCTGGTATTTCTATGCAAGTAAAAATTGTCTGGAAGCTTTGAGCAAAAACTTGAGCGAAGAAGAGACTTAAGGGGTGAATGCGTCAAGAACGCGGAGTGCCTGTCGTGTTAGAAGTGGGAATTGGGTCTCTAAGGGGATTTCTGAGAACCCGACTGGCGTGGGCGTGGTGTTCCGAGCCCGTTTTTCCTATTTGGTTTTGGGGCGAAACTCGGTAGTGCTCCTGAGTGGGGCTTGCGCCCCGCCAACCCGGCTTGGATCCCCGGCACCACCTGACGCCGGACTAAAGGCGGTTTCCTTTTCTGCTGACCCGCACGTGGGAAACCGCCGTGAGTGCAGGCTCCGCCACCCTTGGGCTTTCTGAGCCCCGGGCTGCCCGGAGTGTGTTTGTGCCTCCTGGGCTTTGAACCCAAAGACAAACCGGGAGAGGAGAAAGGGCTTAACGCCAAGAACACTTAAACTCTTGTCTCCTTGCTTTGTGCTAACTGGCTTGGTCGAAGTTTTTTTAGGAACTCATTCTACCCTGAAAACACCGTTTTACTGGGGCTCGAGCAGTAGAAAAGCGGGTAGGGCGTTTGCCTTGCATGAGGCCGACCCGGGTTCGATTCGCAGCATCCCATATATGGTCCCCTGTGCATCGCTGGGCGGGGGAACAGACACCCTTTTACTCCGGAGGACATGGTTTCATTTCCCACGTGCCTTGGTCCAGACTCTGCCAAGGGCGTGGGCTGTACCGGTATATTTGGGCTTTTCCCTTTCTAGAGTAACGGGTTCTTCCCCGGGGTTTGCTTCCAGGCCGCTTTGCTGCTGCAGGTTTAGCCAGGGCTGGAAGTTGCTTTTATAGGGGATAGGGAAGGAGAAATTTCTGCCTGCAGGGAAACTGGGCTCCCATGATGTCCAGCACTGGGCTCCTAGCACCCCTGAGGACACAGTGCGCCCTCAGGACCTTTGACACCTGAGGGACTGAGGAGCTTTGGTTCTCCTTGCTCTCCTTGTGGGCTGTTTTTTCTCATCCTCACCAAAGCCTCCTTCTGTTCCAGGTACATGATCCTGCTGAGGGTCTGTAGTGGCGTCCAGCTTGGTAAAATGCCCAGGTGCGCTGGGCGGGGGGGGGCGCAGATGTGGGCTCTGTCTCTGGGTGTTACAAGCAGGGAGGCCTGCACATTAGCCCCTTGGTTCCTTGTGCCCTCGGGTCGCGGGGGAGGACAGCCTTCTGGGTAGGGGTACGCGCAGGTTTATTCGAGGGGTGTTTGGAAAGGGACAGGCCTGAGGGACAGGGACATGGGTGGAATCTCCGGCTCCTATTTCTTGAGTCTGCAGCCGGTGGTACACCTGACCTTGGCACCGCAACCTGATATGTGGGAGCGTCACAGGGCTGTGTCCTGAGGTGCTGGCTCAGCCTGCACCCTCGTGGCAGCAAGTGGCTATAAGCACGACCCCAACCCCTGGCCTTTCCCTCACCCTCACATAGGTGTATGGAGCACCCTGGACACTGCATCAGTCATTGCCATCCCCAGCCTCCAAGCCATGCAGGAGCTGAAGGAAAGAGCCCGGGCCCCCAAACCTGCACCCAAAGTCCCTCTAAGGGATAGGAAGTTCGAGCGGGGGTTCCACCACCTGGAAGAAGGCTGTGGGGGCCATGCACTGAACTCGTGACTACACCTGCCACGTGGAAGAAAGGATCCAGGACTACAGGAAGGATGGGCATGGAGAACCTGCCTTTCCTGGGAAAGGTAACAGGCTGTGGGTCCCCCTCCGTGGGGGTGGGGACTGAGGGCCACTGTGGTGGGGGTGACATCAGGGATAGAACCCAGCGAACTTGGGAGCCAGGTACTGATGCTTTCTTCACCTGGATCTGAGTCCAGGGTCCCCATGATGTGCAGCACTGGGCTCCGACTGTCCCTGAGGACATGGTGCCCCCCCAGGACCTTTGACACCTGGGGGCCTGAGGGACCCTGGTTGGGGGAGGAGGCCTCATGTTTGTCTCAATCCCACTGACACTCCCCCTTTCCTCCATTTCCTGCCAGAAGGTGGCACCCTGAGTCAATGGAAGGACCAGGCCATCCCTCTTGGTAAGAACAAAGCCACTCCTAGATCACCCATAATAACTGGGGCGACTTGGATGATGGGGTGCAGCATCGTTCATCGACTTTCTCGAGGGTCTGCCTATGGGGTCCCCATGATGTCCAGCACTGGGCTCTGATCTCCTATGAGGACACAGTGCTCTCCTGGGACCTTTGACACCCAGGGATCTGAGGGGGCCTCCTCGGGGTTGGGGGGAGTCTGGACAGGGGTCCCGCCCTCCTGAGACCCCTCTTTCTCTCCCCACAAAGCGTCCAGGCTCTGCTGCTGCCACCCCTCCCAGCATGGAGGAAATCCTACCTCGCCGACATGGAGCAGCTACGAGCATCCTGCTCTGAGTCCAGCTTGAAGCCCAGCACCATGGAGGACATCGAGTGGGTGTGGGAGCCAGGTGTGGGCCTGCAGCAGGTGTGGTTCCTAATGCACCAATGGAGCCTAACAACGCTGGTTTTAGAGTTGCTGAAATGCCGTTTCCTTGTGGTTTTTCTTCTGAGATTTGTGTGTTCTGTGCTGTGCTGGGGTCCTGGGCCTGTCTGGGGGTTGCTGACCGTTGATTCTTCCCCCATTGAAGAGCAAGCACTGTCCTTGCTCAGCATTTCACCGACTTATCAGGGCGGTGCTGGGGATAAAAAGCTGCCTTTGGGTTAGAGCAGAGTGCCTCCCTGTGTGTGTTGGGGGTGCTGGCCTCTAGCTGTGGACACAGCTGTGCCCTTACCAGACGGCCCTGTCTCCAGCTCCTCGGGCAGTGACCTTAGTGGGGTTGGTTGGCAGCTGAGGTTCCCTTTGACCAGCCATAGAATTCTGCAGCTGTTTGGGCATCAAACTTACCCACAGGTTTGAGCCTGACACCGTAAACCACGTCTGGAGAGTGATGCCCAGGAGAGTTATGGACCATTTGGCCCCATGCTTTCCCATGCCCCGAAGCCAGTGGAAGCAGTGGGCTGGGCTCTGCTAGACCCCATGGGCTGTGGACTCTTCCCCAGTCCTCCCCCACTGATGTACCTGCCTACCTGCCCCTGGCCTCATAAGATCCTATGGTTTCTGCCCCCACAGCCTGGCCCAGTGTACCCCAGGCAACACACAAGAAATTGGAGGCTAGAGCAATGGGGAGCAAACATGTTGGGGTAGGTAGATCCAGCATCAGCTGTGGGGCAGTGGGTTCGCCTTCCCGGCTCACACGAGCCCCCCCCAGGCCCGCAGGCATCCTGGTTTGCAGGCGAGCAAACCCAGCCCCGTGCTCAGCAGGGCCAGCAGGGCCACAGCCCCAGCCAGCAGGGGCACCGCCGTGGCTGTGGGGAGAACGCGGGCTGTGAGTGTCGGGCTGCCCCCTGCCCCGCTCCCAGCCCCACGCCTAGGCCTGTCACCTGCACGGGGGGCAGGCTGGTGGGTGCCATGACAGGGGATCCCATGAGCTGGTGGCCGGGCAGGGGCAGTCAGCTGGTGGAAACGGCCCAGTGGACAGAGGCCCGGACACCCGGGGATGCTCAGGGGCAGGGGCAGGCCTGTGGAGTCGTTGCGGTAGAAAAGAGAGACCGTGACGTTCCTGGGGGAAGATGGGGGGGTGCTCAGTTCCCCAGTCTTTTCACCCTGCCCACCCATGCCCACTGAAAGGAGAAAGCTTCCTGTCTCCTGCTGGCCACCTACCACTCCACATAGACCCTCCTGCTGGGCTTCCCAGCCCACCTCCAGAATGTCCCTGCCACTCTGGGCCCTCACCCAGCACCAGCATCTTCATCCGGGTCCTCAAGGTGTGTCCGGAACTCGAAGCCCAGGCAGGCGGCATATGGTGGAGTGTGCCCGTCATAGAGCCCCAGTGCCCCCTGGAGTGCCAGCAGGGTGCTATCGTGCTGCAGGTGAAAGCAGGGTTGAGGTACAGCCATCTCTGCACCTCAGCCTCAGACCCCCATGAGCCCATCTCCAAAGCAGCCACACAGGCTGCAGGCAAGCAGAGTACAAAGACCCACCAAATAGATGAGAATATGGGCAGGTGGCCTGCCTTTCCATAAGCACCAAATTCCTCCCGATGACGCCTCCCTCCCAGGCTATATTCCTGGGATATGAATTGAGGATAGTTGGTCCAGAACTGAGGGATCAGCAGCTCTATACACACACACACATACACACACCCCTCCTGGGCCCATCCAGACTTACAGCCGAATAAATGACCATCTTGAGAGGCAATGCCAAGCGCTGGGTTCTGGAGAAGTTGCTGAGGATGGCATCCAGCAGTATCCCTGCAACAAGATCAGAGCTGCAGACCCCAGAGGAAGGTGCCGTGGCTTCATTCCTGGCAGCATACTCACCCCCTGACAGCTGGGCCTTTTCTGCTGCCCGCGGTGGGCCTACATGGGCTCCAATATCCAAGGCTGAGATCCGAGCTAGTGTCCGCATCACATCCAAGGATGCCCAGGATGGGAGGGAAAGGCCATGGGCTCGCTGGGGAGATAGGATGAGGAGACAACACCCTGAGTGCTTTGCAGCCCTGCACACACTAACACCCTAATTGGTCCCCAGCTGCAGTTCTCTCCCCACTCCTCCCGGCCCCTCAGGCTAGGGATGGACATTAAGTTAATGGCGTGAGCAACATGTTTATTAGAGGTAATGACCATCTTCTGCAGTCCTCCAGTATCTGAAATCCTTGAGGTCAGCTAATGACCAACTTCTTCAGCCCTCTGGCATCTGAAACCCTTGAGGTTGGCAGGGTTTTTGGAAGCAGATGCTTGGGATTTTAGGAGTATCTGGTGCGGGCAGTGCAACACACATGATAACACACCCAGTGGTGTGGGCAACCCCCTAATCAGACACACTTTTCCCACTCTGCAATTGAGAATGGTTCCATAAAGTGGGGTAAGCAAGGACAAAGCGCTGCAACATTTTTCAGCCCAGTCCAGTCTCCCAAGTAGACACTTCAGAGGGCAAGTTGCAAACATCTCAGCAAACACTGACAGCATCCGGGTAAAGTCTGGTACCATCCTCACCATCTTTGACCTCAGCGACTCCAGGACGTGTGAACATCCCCATTGGGAACCCGACTCAAATGACCCGTTTCCTCTGGACAGGGTGGATAAAGTGGGGACCCACCTGGCAAATCAACGTGTCCAGAAGTTTCCATGTCTTGCGGAGCGGTTCCCCGACCAATGACAACCCCGTGAAGTTCTCCAGGCGATTCAGAAATCCCTGGACGCATAAGGAGGAGTGAATCTCACGCCTCGCCAAGACCCCCACCCCTCCTGACCCGTCCCATTCCATTCTGCCAACACCCTCATCCCAGCACCTCTCCCTAAGGCCACGCCCCTTTCACTTTAGACCCCGCCCTCCCATCCCTTCCACCATCTCCACATCCCAGCAATCTCCCCTAAGGCCACGCCCCTTTCTCCTTAGACCCGCCCTCTTCTGCCCAGGCCCCGCCCCTTCCGCCCCAGGCCCCGCCCCGCCCAGCTCACTGTCCAGCCCTCCAAGGCCGTTTGGTACTCGGTGGCTTCTGTCGCCTCCCGCAGCAGCTCACGGTATCGGGGGCAGTTACGCGTGGGGAACCTCAATAGCTGGGGGGAAACTGCGGCTCAGAGAGGACAGCAGCGTGACGGGGGTTTCCAGAGGGCGGGGAACAGTGCGGCCTGCAGGCACTGGGACCCCCGTGTCTACCCCGCGGGCAGCGCAGCAGGTCCCCATTCTCCGCCCCCACCAGCCCTGGTCTCCTGCCGCTCCTGACCTTGTCCTCGGAGACGGGCACCGTGTGCACGGGAATGGGCCTCCAGGCTGCCTCGGGGCGCCCCGGGCCGGCCTCGGGGAACAGCCCCGCCAGGTTGGCCTGAGCGCTCTCCAGTGTCCGGTCGAAGTCGGTGCTGCGGACATACACCTGGGTGGGCAGAGAGCGGGGCGCCCGATGGGCATGGCAGACCGAGCTGGCCCACTTGGGGTTTGGCTCTAGATGGTGAAAAGGGATTTTTTTGGCCGGGAAAAGGAAGTCAAGCTTGAGGGTCAGGCCTTCCTTGTCTGAAGTTGGGATCAAGGATCAGAGGAGGTCAGTCTCAGGAGCAGGAAGGGTAAGGCTCTGGAGTGGGGGTCACACACAGCAGTAAGGGCGTCCTGAGGGCACCGTGTGCATGGGAATGAGGTGCTGGAGGTTGGAGATCAAAATGAGGGTCCCAGAGGAGAGGTCAGAGGTGAGGAGGAGAGGAGGAATCTGGGAAGGGAAATCTGAATTGATGAAGGGCAGAGACAGGTGGGCAGATTGAATCAAGGGGAATCAAAGAGCCAGTCAGGTTGAAGGGGCCGAGGGGGAGGGTAGAGGGTCTGCTTGAGTCAGGAGCTAGGATGGAGGAGACTGAGAGAGTGGGTGGAGGTCAGAGGTCAAAGGTGTGCAGGGACCCAGCAGGTAACAGCAGAAGAGCTGGCTGTCTTTGGAGCATGCCCCGTGCTCGTACGGTCCCACCCCATCCCTGGTGATGGCCAGCAGCACCTGGTACCAGACCTATCCAGCCAGACCCAGCCGATGGGGGTAGGGGGGTGCATACCTCTTCCCGCCGGAACTGGGGGCTCAGGAAGCCCTTGTAACGACGCCTCAGGAAGCGGCCCAGCTCCAGCTGCTGCTGGACGCCCTCCTGGGGACAGAGCAGGGCCTCAGCCACCCCACTTCACCCCCTCCTGGCCCTTCCGACCCCTCTCCCACCTCTCACCCTGGTCAGCTGGCCCAGGCCCCGCGGCCACAGTCTGGACAAGGAGTCTTTGTGCGGGTCCGTGGGGTAGGAGGCCAGCGGGGCCCTGTCTCCATGGCGGAAGACCTGGGGAGGGGACCGGTCAGTGCAGGCGGGTGGGGAAGGGGAAGGCGGGGGAGGGGGGCACCTCACCACAGCCACGAACACCAGCGGTCCCTCCGTCAGGGCCTGGGGGAGCAGGAGCAGCAGTAGGAACAGGAGCAGCCCGGCAGGGTGGCCCCGAAACCCAGGCAAGGCCATCGCCACGCAGCCAGACGCTGGCTCAGCCTGGCTCTGCCGCGGCCTCACCTGCTCATCAGCTGCCGCCACACCCCCCCAGAGCAGGTCCCAGCACGCCAGCCCCCCCACCCCAGTCCCGGAAGCCCAGGTGGCCTCCTGGGATCCGCCCCCCCCCCACCAGGCCCTCTGGCAGCCCGGAATTATTCGCCCCTTTCATCTCCAGCACAGTCTGGTTATTACCTTTCTGGGGAAACTGAGGCACAGAAGGGGCTCAGGAAACACAGCCAGGGAGTGGTATAATAGTTGTATAGTAGTTACTGAAGCAAGTGAGGTGCCCTTAGCCTCCCAACCTCACTGTCTTTCTCCTCCCTCTGCCCCACCCCCGACCCCCAATCTCCTCTCCCTGTCTGACTCTTTTCATTTGCTTATTTGTTTTTGTTTGGGGGTCACACCCAGCAGTGCTCAGGTCTTACTCCTGGCTCTGGCTCAAGGGGTCACTCCTGGCGTGCTCAGGGGAGCATATGGGGTGCTGGGAATTGACTACATACAAGGCCAGCACCGTCCCCGTTGTGCTATGGCTCCGCCCACCCATCCCGGCCTTAACCTCTTTCAACATCAGGGCTCTTTGGGACCCTCAGCCTGGCTCCAGTGCATTCTTTTTTTATTTTCTCTTGTGTGTGTGGCCAAAAGCTGTGCGCAGGACTTACTCCTGACTCTGCACTCCGAGATCACCCCTGGCGGGGCCTGGGGGACCGTATCGGATGCTGGGAATCTGAACCTGGGTCAGCTGTGTGCATACACAACAAGTGCCCTCCCTGCTGTGCTGTCACTATGGCCCCTGGACTCTGCTCTTCTGTGCTCTCAGCTGAGTCATTCCCAAGAATGCTCAAAGCTACTCCCACCTCAGTGCTCGGGGGCGTCTCACGCCAGGCTGTGTTGTGGGTGGCCATGCACTGTTGGGATGGAACCTGGACTTCCTGGACGCAGAGCCTGTGCTCCAGGCGCTGGAGCTCTCTTCCACACTGATTTTCTTCCCTTATTTTGGGTTTTGTGGACCACAACTCTCAGGGTTTATTCTTGGTTCTGTGCTTAAGAGTGCCCCCTAGTGGAGTGAAGGTTTAGGCCCTAGTGGTTAAGCTCATAGCAAGCACCTTCCCTCTCAGTCAGCGATTTTCTTGTTTGTTTGCTTGTTGTTGGGGGTGGGGGACGCGCACACCTGGCAATGATCAGAGCTTACTCCTGGCTCTGCCAGGGATCACTCGTGTGAGGATTCAGAGGCACTCTGTGCGGTGCTGGGAATCACTGCATCACTGCCCCTTGGCCCTGGCAGCAGAATACAAGGCACGCGCATTCCCCGCTCTTCACGCCCTGGTCTGCTTTATTGTACAGACTCGGCCCGCAGGGACCTCCTAATGGGCTTCTCAGCACTGCCTGTGCGGCACCTCCCCTCTATGCGGTGATAGGACACGGGGCTAAGGCTTGTGTCTTACCCACAGCTGACCCCAGGTTGATCCCCAGCACTGCATAGGGTGCCCCAGGCCCTCTAGGAGTGACCCCCAAGCACAGGGCGAGGAGTGGTGCCTGAGCACTACTGAGCATGGCTCCCAAAGGGCTCTTTTTAAGCCCTGGGCTAGCAGATGCGGGGCCAGCATCTAAGGGACCCTGACAGAGCAGCCGTCCATGGGCTCTTCTGCATTCAGGGGTGGGGGGACAGTCACTGTGCACCAGTTGGGGGCACTGGAAACCCCCTGAATCTGGAGATAGGCTTTACTTGGCGTGCATGTGTGTCCCTGTGTGTGTGTTGTTTTCAGAGCCCTGCCGCAGATGGAACCCAGCACCTCACATGATCAAGGCAAGTGTCTCCCACGAGCCACATCACACCCCAGTCCCGTCCTGCATTTTGGGGGGGCAGTGGAGACCCTGCCAGTTATTTGGGCTTTCTGGCACCCAGAGCTGAGCACTGCAGACACCCCCCAGGGTGCCCACAATTGGGGGCTCTAGGGGTGGTGCTGCAGGGACAATCCCCTTAACCTTAGCAGCCCCGACCCCAGTCCTGACATTGCAGGGACATTTGGTACCCAAAGCTCCGTCCCCCCCGGCCTCTGCCCCAGGGTCCCCTTCACCCAGAACACTCGTCTCCGGTCACCACGGCCACCATCCTGGTGTCCCAGACGACGTCCGCTCAGGCCGCGGCACTGACCATCCCTCTCATGCTCAGAGGAACCTGAGCTGGAGAGAGAATGCAAGGAGGATGATAGCAGCTGCCGCAGGCCCACGGCCATGAACTTGCAGGAAGTAAGGAGGGCCCCGGGGGCGGGGCAGGGGACTGGGCTGCCCCCCCTGACCTATGAGCCCTCCCCCAGAATGTGACCCTGGCCATCGCTGTATTCACCATCCTGGCATCCATCTACTTCTTCAACAAGGTAAGAGCGCACATGCACACACACATTCACACACGTATACACACATAAACACAAGTGTGCACACACATGTGTGCACGCATGTGTGCATATGCACATTTACACATGTGCATTACATATGCGTGTGCATACATTCGTGTGCATATGCATGTGTACATGCATGTACATTGCATACACATGAGTGCACACATGTGTAGACATTTACATGTGCACAATACACTGTATGTGCATACATATATGTGCACCAGCACGCACATATGTGCATGTACACATATGTGTACACGTGTACCACGTATACATGTTTGCAAATACATGGTACATATGCATATATACTTACATGCATTAACACACACACACACACCTCTCTCACTCTCCCATTTCTGCCTCTCTCAGGCTCAGAAGTGAGAAGACCCAGAACTGCTGCCCCGAGCCCTGGACTCTGCCTCTGAGGCTGAATAAATGTAACTGAGTCAGCAGCACCCCTACCCATGTCGTTCCTGGCGCCTCATCACCCAGCACCACCAGGTCCTGCTTCTCAGCTGGGGGTCTCAGGCCTTGGGTCAAAAGGTGGAGGGGATGGGTCAGAGGGAGGAGGGTGCTGCGGATGGGAGCCTGCAGTTGGTTGAAGTAGGGGATGGGAACCTGAGCAATACATGCAAGACAAGCGTGTGGTGGGCTTCACAGCACAAAACAGACACGATGGGAGACAGAGCAGGGCGTCCTAGGGCTCACCCACTGTGTATTCAAATCTTCTGTGGTAGTGCTCAGGGCTTCAGCTGGCTCAGCACCACTGGGGGTTCGCTTCGGTGGTGCCCCAAGAACCATCTGGTACCGGTGATGGGCCTCCTGCATGCAGAGCACTCCCCCCACTATGTCTCAGGCCCTTGGATTCCTCCCTAACTAACTGGACAGCAAGGCTGCCTGTGTCAGAATCGCAAGTGGAATCCTTAGCTTCGTGGCGGTCCTGTCTGTGGCCTTCCTCTTTCCCGAGAGAGCTCCTGCTCTGTCTGTCATGCCCTCCATGACTACACTTTCCCAAAAGGGCCCAGACCCCCGGACTGTCACCAGCACCTCTGTCACTGTTGCCTTGCCCCCCATGTCTCTTGAAAGAAGGTGATGCTGACACCAAGTTTCACATGCTGTGCCCCACAAGACAAGTTCCTTTTCACCCTAGCCTGGGGGAGGTGGCCTCTAAAGAGGGATGCCCACACTCGCGGGCGTGCCGGTAGCGGCCTCACACATTTATGCTGGGACCGGGCAGGCCACCCCACTGGGCCCAGAGAGTTTGGTAGTGGACTGGAGCTTTGTGCCTCGAGGCTGCAGATCCGAGAACCGCCACACGATGGTGTGGTTGGTCTATTTTCCGGGCGAGCCGCCGGTTTCTGAAAACCCGCTGCTTTCGGGGGGCGTAGGGGAGCGTTCTGGCTATTCCCCCTTTCCCGCGAGTTCCTCTCCCTGCCAGATCTTCCCGACCGCGTTTCCCCTCCGCCCTTTCCACCCGCACCCCGTGCCCGGGGCGCCTGGAATTTCACCTCCAGGATGACGCGGGGACCGAGAACCAAATCTGGACAGAGCCGCGGTCTCCACCTCGACCACAGCGCTGGGCTCCCCCAGCGCCCCGCAACCATCTGGGTTGATTCTCCATCCTGGACCCCGCCCGCTTCCGGGGGCCCCAACTGGTGGGCGTCCCCAAACCGGGGCCTGGGAGTGTCCCCCGGAGACTCCAGACTCAGAGCCCGGCCCAGCGGAGCGTCAGGAATAAATGAGTTTCCGAGGCCGCACGACGCGGCCAGCTGGGCAGGAAGTGGACACACAGGAACGGAATTTCCCTGCAGTCTGGACACGTTGGGGGTGGTGGGACAGCACGTGGGCTGCCGCAGGGTCCCCCCACCCGGGGCTAAGCTGCTGCGCAGGGAGGGGTGCGGCCAGAGGGCCAGGCGCTGGGTACCCAGGCCGGTGGTGCCTCTGTGCGCATGCGTGCGGCTCTCATTCACCTCTCCTACCTTTGACCTCTCCTGTTTGTTTTGTTCTGGGGTCACAACAGCGGTGGGTGCTTAAGGATAGCCCCAGTTTAGTGCTGGGAGTTGCTCCTGGTGGTGTTCGGGTGGACCCTGCTAGCTGTCGGGGAGCCTGACCCCGGCTTCCCGCATGCAGAGCCCCTGTCCGGGCCTCCCCGGACCCTCCCTGCCCCCACCCCCCATCCCCGTCGCTTCCCTCCTCCCGGCAGCTCTCCCAGGTCACCTCTCCTGCCCCGCCTGGCTGTCTTTCACCTTCCCCTCCCTGGCCCGTCTGTCACCAAGTCACCCTGTCCGCCAAGTCACCCCCACCCCCAGCTCCTTTCCTCTACTTCTCTTGGTTCCCTGCCCCCTCTCTGGTCTCTGTCCCCCTCTCTCTGGGTCTCTGTCCTTGCTTCTCTGAGTCTGTTCTTCTTATGGGTTTCTGTCTGCTTTCACCCTCCCCCCCTCCTCCCTCTGGGTCTCTCTGTTCCCCACCCCCACTTCCCACCCCTGTCTGTACTCAAAGCTGATGCCTGGCTCTGTGCTCAGAGATCACCCCTATCTATGCTCAGGGCACCATAATTGGCATTGGGATTGAGCCCGGGTCGGGAGCATGCAAGGTAAACTCACTTTTGCACCGTCTCTCCTGCCCCCGTGCTCCATTTTCGATTTTTTCCAACCCTCTGAGAAAGATGCTCTTGCTGCATTTGATCGCTGGGAATTCCTGGGGCGACGCACAAGGTTATAACTGGGTCATCTTGCCAATTAACCGCTGAGAAACAAATCCAGGTTGATGGGCTGGCTCCCAATTTTTTTTTTCTTTCAAGTTTGGGCCACAACCTGAGGGGCTATTCCGAGCTCCATGCTCAGGAGCAACCCCTGGAGGTACTCAGGGGGACCATATGAGTTGCTGGAGGTACTCAGGGGGACCATATAAGTCAAACTGGGGTTGGCCACATGCAAGGCAAATGCCTCACTGCTGTCTTTTCTCTCCAGCCCCTCCCTGGATAATAATAATAATAATAGCAGTAATATAATAATACTGTATTATCTTACCCAAACAAATAAATTATTGAGTGATTGAATGAACTAATCACCGTTGAACAACCCCCTCTAGGATTCTTTGGTCTCTATGCATAAATTGATGAGAAATTAATGTATTCCCATCTCCACTTGTAACTTCTACTCACACAACAGTTCCCCATGCAAAGGCCGCTTCCTCCATGAAGCCCTCCCTGGCATTTGTTTTGGGGACCTTACCAGATGGTGCTCAGAATCACTTTCAGCAGTGTTTGGGGGTCCATGTGGTGCTGGGAATTGCAGGGTTCCAATATGCAAAGCAAGAACTTCAGCCCTTTGGACCTTCTCCCCTGTTCTATCAATTATTCAGCCCTGGGGCCGGAGCAATAGTAGAACGGGAACTGGTCACCCTTGAGCAACACCCTTGCACACAGTCGACCCAGGTTTGATCCCCAACATCACATACGGCCCCTCAAGCCCCACCAGGAGTGATTCCTGAGTGCAGAGCCAGGAGTAAACACCCCTCCCCCCGAGCATGACCCCCAAACCACTAAAATAATAATAAACAATAATTCTTGTTATTATTCAGTCCTCAATGTCATAGTTTGTGACTGTTCTCCTGGCAATTCTGGGGGCAGGCTAGGGAAAGATGTGATACTAGGAACTGCATCAGGGTCAGCTCCATATAAGGCAAGTGTCTTACCCTCTGGGCTCTCAGACCCTGCATGAATTGTTTCTTTTTCTGCACATCTCAGTGTCAGCCTGCGCATGCACACATGTATGTGCCAACACACACACACACACACACACACACACACACACACACCAGACCCCAGAACACAGAAATTACACAAGACTCAGGATTTGACAATTCCTCTGACGATGGCAGGGTAAAGGGTGCCTTCAATATGGCTGAATAAATTAGTGGATAAATGTGGGAAAGGGTCACTAGCACCCACTTAGGAGCAGACAAATGAGGACCCCAAATATCTCCATGTCCAGATGCCCGGAAATTGTGAGTATGGGAATGACGTGCCACTAGCCCCCCCTAGAAGAGGCTGACCCTGGATTATCCCAAGGCTGAGGCATTGCAGGGTGCCTTGAAGTGGAAGAGGATGGGACCTCTAAAGAAGAACCAAAAAGGGGGCTTATATGCACCTGTTTAGGACCCCCGTCCTCAGAATCATGAGATAAAGGTGTGCTTTTTTATTTCTTGTTGTTTGGGGGCTACACCCAGCAATACTCAGCACTGATTCCTGGTTGTGTATTCAGGGATCACTCCTGGTGGGGCTTGGAGGACTATATGGGGTGTTAGAGATGGAACTCAGGTCGGCTGCGTGCAAGGCAAGTGCCAAACCTGCTGTATTATCACTCCAGCCCGATTTATTATTAGTTTTTATTTTAATTTTTTAAAGATTTTGGACCATACCCAGCCGTGCTTGGGGCTTCCTGATGGAGCTCAGGGGACCTATGTGATGCCAGGGATGGAGACAAGATCAGTGGAGAGCTATACTCAGTGTCCTAATCCTTCTACTGTCTCTTGAGCCTCGCTAATGGGTCTTCTGCTTTGACTTTGGGGCCACACCTGGTTAAGTGCTTGGGGGGTACTCCCGGCCCGGCATGGGCAGACTCCAAACAGAGCCCAGATGGAACAATGCCCAAGAATCGCGCCTGGAGACTCCTGCACGCTGAGCCTTTTCTTCAGTCCCGCCCCGCTGCATTTAATTCCAGTGAGAGAAAGGAAACCCGGATCCCCTGGTGCCGCTGTCCCTGGTCCTGAGTTCCAGACCTAACCCCATGTTCTGCACTGGCAGCTCAGGGTCTCCAGTCGCGGAGGGAGGGGTAAGCATCTGGGTGCTCAGGCAATCGGAACAGAACCGACCACATGACGCCTCGGAAGGGGGGCTCGGGCGCGCTGCGGGAGGGGAAGGTGTCAGGTGTCGGGGTGAGAAGTCTCCTGACAGCTATTTCCCGACATCTGATGACAGTCTGTCTGTCTCCCACGGCTGGGAACATCTCAAACCAGGCCAGCTGGGGGGCGCCGCCTCCCCTCTCTCCTGCCGAAAGAAACGGAGGTAGTGATTAAGAGCGCGTAATTGCCTCTCCCCTGCCTGCGAGGTAAATATCTTTCTCCGGGATCGTTGAGGCTGCCAGCTCGGTGGGACAGAGGCTCTGCTTTTTCCAGGCACGCCTGGGTCTCAGAGGATGGCCCTACTGGGAACCTGTTCCTACTACGTGTTGAACCAGTGCTTGAAGGGATAGTCTACGCATGGACTCCGGAGGCTCCAAAGGACGGAGACAGTCCCTTCCCACTAGGATGCAGACCCCTCCCATGGACTTTAGGCCCCACCCCTGGGAGATTGGTCCCGCCTCGGTCTGCGCCCCACTCCTTAAGTCGGCCCCTCCCCCTGAGGATATCAGCGAGGCGCTGGATACACACCCCCTGGAG